GAGTGTGGGAACAGATATGATTTAACCAACAAAAGTCTTTGGAAATGTAACAGTAGTTTGCACATAGCCAAGATATGGTACAGGCTGTCCTGCTGCACCTTCTACTTGGAGTAAATCTTGTAATGATTGCACGGGTTGGTCTGACAAATGTTTATTGTAAAAAGAAACTGGGATTGTAGTCACTTGTGATCCTGTATCTAACAGACATGTGCTGTGATGACCATTAACTGAAATGTCTGATGTACATCTGGAACCAACAAGTCCTTTTGGTACTACTCTTTCCACAATTGAATTTGACTGTAGCTCTGAACACTGGGCAGTAACTTGTTCTTTGGCGGGACAAGATTGGTCCTGCTCAGTTCCTGGATGTCCCACACCAGGAACCGAAACTAGTTTAACTTTCCCTGTGGTGTGAAATTTTGTCGCTGCCACTTATGTTGCTTGTCTTGGAATCGCTTGCGCTTCGCACTCACCAAGGCTGGGTTTGGGTCAGAGTCACACTGGGGTCTAATATGTCCATCTTACCCACATCGAAAACAAAATCCAAGTTTCAAGTTTGATCGTACAGGTTTATTTTTCACAACTACTGGACTCAAGTTCATGGGGGACTGTCCTCTGTTGGAAGTTAACGCAGCTAGATGTTGCTGTATAGCAGCTATTTGCTCTGACAGTTGCTTAGTGAGATTTGTAAATACCGTACAAAGATTTGCCTCATCTTAATTTTTCACAAGTTGTGAGTGTGTAGCAACCTTTTAACGTGCTCCTAGATGCTGTTTCATCCTCACACTCTTTGCTGCATCTCTATCTTCCTCTGTCCGCAGAAGTAGTAGAAGCTCTGCAAAGGTGGGTGGATTAGTTTTCCTCTGTTTAAGCTGTAATTCAGAGATTAGTCCATTGTCCCAACATCCTCTACAAAATTGAGCTAACAAGCGTTTCTCAATGTCCTGCTCAGATACTCCTCCTCTCCTCACAGCATGTTGCAACGCCACCTGCAGTCGCTGAAGATATTCAGAAGCCTTCTCACCACTATTCTGATAGGTGTCCATAAATTTGGCGTAAAGTTCTTCTCCGTCCTGGACAGTGCCGTAAGCAGACTCCATATGCTGCAGATAGACATCTGGCAATGTGTCATGGCTGAGATGTTTCACCAGGTCACAGGCAGGTGGTAACAGGCCGTCTCGAATTAGCCTGGTGCGCTGGAGATCCGAGATGGACGGATCACGCAGCAACAGCTCGACGCCAGCCCTCCATGTGT